TGTCCCCGGAAAAACCGTCGCAAGCCAACGTGCCTGTTTCCAAAGCCAGCTTAGTTCGAGGGCTATTGTGAGGCTACTTTACGCTAAAACACGAGATCCAACATCGCGCGGCAAACTTCGGGGTCCTCCAAGGTCAAACCAATTTATCTGAATCACTCATTTCGGTTACCGCAGTTCTACCTGACATCCACCAAACAAATCCACACTTACCATATACCAAACCTCCGGGACAGAAAGCACCTTGTTTAGGTACCGTATGTCGCAGATCTAGGGCTAAAATTAACACCTTTTCCATCTATCTTAGAACTTGAAATCTTGATTGACCCCACATCCAGCTGGGACAACGTGGCTTCCAGAATTTTCGAAAATTCCAGCCACTCGGCATTCCAGGAGGATCAGGACCAGAGCCAAGTCCCCGGCATTAAATGGTCCAGCACTATCAAACACGAGCTCTTCTAGAAGAAATCTTTCGCTTGTTCGAGATCTATTGAAATCATACGACGGGTCGCTCGGGAGCCGTTGCCAGCAAATCTTGGTCCGGGGTCTTGGCGGTTTGACCTTGAACCTTCCAGTGGCTAGTGGATAGGCGGTAGCGAAACCTGCTGCGGCTGTGGAACCGGTACGGGTTATGTTGCTGTCGCAACGAGTGGTATTTACTGTAACAAGAGATTGATACAGGAATACTCCGGCCTATCTTTGGTATTTGCCGGTTTCTAGTGGATTCCGAACGCCATCGTCTATTCTTAGGAAAGGATCGGTCCATCCCTGTCAAAGGAATGCATTGCTTGCATTCAGCCTCTTTCAGATATTGGGGCATGAATTTTGAGGCATAAATATTGGCCATTCCACAATGCAACTGACTCTCGTCCATCGAGATAAAACATAAGTCACTGTAACATTTCTTTGGCCCTGTAATTGAATGATACGTGCCGTCCCCTCACTCGCGAAATACGGGACAATCTGCCCTCGGGGAGGACGAAAGGAGGGCTGCCTCCGAACTGTTGAGCAGGCTCCTATTCAGATGGGTTGAACCACGACGAGTTGGAAAAGACATGACAAGGCCCTATAAGCGGCAGACTTGTAATAATACGAAAAAAAAAGCCGGTCAAAAAGAAGAACTTGAGTACATGAACATCATATAATCGAAACTAACCACCTTGTTCACCTGCAGGGAGCGCGCTTGACTTGAATATCTTTCTCATCTCGTGGTGTTAGGAATGAGTGTTTTCGGCCTAACCGGTGCCATAACCTCAAAGTCGTGAAGAGTAATGGCCCTACTCTCTCTAACATACCTAGTATTGTGCATTCCAATATCATCAGGACGGATAGAGATCGCCCGAAGCGCATGTATAGCCTTCGAACCTTCTTCTCCAACATCAGCTCGTTCAGGTGCATTTAGACTGTACCATATATCACAAAGTCGTTCGCCCTCCAGGTACATATTCCATATCGATTGTGTAGCCTGTTGGAAATGAACTTGAGCATATGATTTGTCCTCTCGCGATACACTTAGGGAAGAGAGAGTCACAGCCGGGTGGGTTATGTCAGGAAAATCATAGACAGCAGCTTCAGTGTCAAACCTATATGGAGATAGTTAGTCCACCCCGATGTGAGAATGCGGCGTAACTCACTGGCCATATGACTCCGGTATCCGGCATTTCTGCGCTTTTTAAATCCCATTGACTTCTGGCGACCACACTGCCCTTTCTTGACTGTAGAGATCCGAGAGGTGTTCCACGCAACTGACAACCATAGGTATTAGAGTCCCATATTAGATAGCCACGTCGGTGGGCATGATAGTCTGGGAATTGCTTGGGGTCAGAAAAAGAATAGAAATTTGGAGTTTTGGATTCAGCAGGACATATTTCTGCCAAGATAAATCGTTCAATGATTGTAGATAATGTATTATGGTAGAGTTTCATGTCGGCAGCTCTGTCGTGTCGTGATATCAAAAGCGGCGAGTTTCGATATCCAACCTAAGCTCTTGACAGCACAAAAGCGTCCGAATATCATCATGAAATTGGGCGCTGCTGGTACAGGCTCGTTGACTAAATGTTAGCACTTACTTACTGGATGGGATATGGATTCCTCTCTTCTTTGTCGCTTGGCCGGGAACGCTTTGGAATGTGGATTTTCCCCTCGTCTTGCGTGCACTTCAAGTGTAATGTGGCTTGGATCCGAGATAGCTTATCGAAGTTGCAGATCCGAGCTTGCTGACTTTGAATTAACCTCCGCGGCTTGGTCAGATTGATTGATATCAGCAACCATCACCAGACAGTAAACAAGGTAATCCTCCTTCCTGCCATGGGCCTAATGCGTTGTCGTAATTTGATTTGTCTGACAAGGCAGTCCAAGGTATATCCTTCCCCTCCTCAAGCCCCGTTTTCCAGAAAAGGAAAATGAGAGACGAAGGTTGAAGAGGGTAGCTGAAGAAGTGAAGCAGGTGTAGGGGGGTGAGACTTCAGAATATCGAAGAGGATGGGGTGAAAGATTTGGAGGTGATTGATACACGCATATATATATATCTATACATTGAATGGAGTCGAGAGATTCAAAGATGACTTCAGTGAGCAACGTGACAACACAACACTAGAGAATGCAAAAGGGAAAGAAAACAACCGAGCTAAGATGTATATATGAAGAGAGGGAAGGAGGGAAAGACCCATCCAGATCAGGGTAAAGGTCCAATCTGGCTTTGGCATGAAGGTTTCTCAACAACGATTTTATCATATCTAACAAGACGCCTCAAACCCCATGCAAAAAGCACATCCAAAAGATACCCAGCCATTCGTTTCTAACCCTACTGTTGAGCGTTCTCGGTCTCGAGACCCCTGGCCTGAAGTGCAAAGCTCTTAGTGGTTGTACCTGAGAAGTGGCGCACTAGTTAGTTAGGTCTAACTCTATAAAACTGTTAACGCCACTACGCATCGCTGCTCTGAGGACATTGCTTCGCCCAGAGAGTGGCATTCGAGGGCTTTGAGGCGTTCTTATGCCTTCGATACCCCGTTGTCTCTTTTCTTGGTTTTTCGAACCTTGCGCAATGAAGAGTCCAAATATTGACCGAGTGCTCTTTCCCAGGCAATTTACGTAAATCGAAGTCTCTATCCTCTTTGCTAACATCCCGAGGCCCACGGAGTGGTTCACTCTCGGCACGGCCCGCGAAGCTCCACCCTGGGAGTCTTTACCTAGTTTTCACGAAGTTCAAATGACGGATTCAGCTGAAGCTGGATCTGAAGATAAAGCAGTAACAAGAGATAGTGCAAAGAGAAGTTAGTTTGAATCTACTGGGAGGAGATATAGGCAGTGAAAGGTTAAATCATATATATATTCAAATTTTGAATTCTATGGGAATTATGCACTCAGTGGGGTGTACCAGCCCTTGGCATTGGCGCGGTTATCTATCTATGCAAGCTGGAATGGGTGTCTCTCCAAGAACTCCTCGAAAGTGGAGAGCTTGCCACGGGCGGCAGCAGCAGCTTCTGCAACCAACTCCTCCGTGCCAGGGCCGAAATATCCATAATCATCCATGAAGCTGAATCCCTCTGCGAAAACATCCTGGAAGAAAGGCAAGCCTGCCTTGAACTCTTCGGTGGAGACCTGTTTGAAGACAATGGTCTTGCCGGAACTCTTGGACAGAAGGGCTGCGATCTCCTCCACGGTGTACAATTTTGTGGCGCAGTGGAGTCGCTTTCCCTGGAACTTCTCAGGCTCGGCGAGGATAGCGCCGACGAACTTGCCGGTGTCACCGACAGCGTCGATCAAGGGGAATTGGGCCTTGGGAGATGTGTGACGGGCGAGCACGTAAGTGCCATCGGCCGCTGGTGTGGGAGCCAAGAAAGTCTGGGCCTGGAGGTTCTCCATGAACGAGCCGAGGGAGACGAAGGCGCTCTTGATAGGGAGGGTTCGGATATAGTCCTCGGCGGCGGCCTTGGCATCGAAGGGAACGACGGAGCTGTATTTGCCGTTGGAAAGGTCGCGAACTGAGGGGAGAGTGCTCCAGATGAAATAATGGACACCTTGTTCAACGGCGGTATCGGCGATTCGCTTGGCATTGTTGACTTCGACATTGAAAGCGTCGGGGCTAATGTCGGGTGTGGTCATAGCGAAGACAGTGTGCACGCCGGTCAAGGCTTTCGCCAGGGAGGCGGGGTCGTTCACGTCCCCATCAACAACCTCGATGTCGCCTTTTTCCTTCAATTGCTGGGCCTTCTCGGAGGTGGAATCGCGGGTGATAGCCCGGATTTTGTACTGTTGGGAGAGCTCTGGGTCGTTCAGCACATGGTTGAGGACGGAGCTGCCTTGTTGACCGGTGGCACCGAAAATAGCAAGAGTCTTAGCCATTGTATTGGGTTTGAGTTGTAAAATTTGGGAATAGGACGAGGAACTGATAGACTGGTTGCTTGGATGGAATTGAAGGATGTAAATGTTACGAACGGAATTACTTAAATGAACATTAGAAGAAAAGACGTGCTTTGAAATCGATTGAGCTGCTAAACTACATCTGTAGTTAGAGGAGATTGGTAAGTTGCTAGACAGGGGGCTGCGCCACGGAGATTAGCAAGCGAGGTTCTAAGCTATCGAGGAAGAAATCCGAAGTTGGGACGAGGTCGCATCGCGAGAACACAGAGGTTAAGCTGCCTATCAAGAGCCGCCCTCGCTAATCCCTCGCTGTGCCTCGCTAATCCTTCGGCGGTTTGTTGGCGATCTGATTGGTCGATTGATCGGTGACTTCTCATGTCAGCATTCTAGGCTTGGGGATGGCCTCATATGGATATTCGGTCATATTTGGCTCGAAAGGTTCGGCGTCAAGTCGTCTTCTTATCAGATACATGGTGTTGAACGTCAAAAAGTAAATGTAAAATCAGTATTCAATGGTATTAAGTGCTATAGTTTGAATGCCTTTTTTCTTTGGAGCAAGTGAATTTCCGTTGTCCAACCTTTAAGACTGAAAAGCGCCCCAACTATCGCGTATTTACATCTATACAAGCTTAAAAATCAAAATGTCTGTCGGTCAATTGATGCGTCTTTGGTGGGCGTTTGATCCACCCAAGGTTGAGAAGAGCAAAGATGCCCTCAAATTTGGTATACTGGGAGCCGCGAATTCAGCGTGAGTGGTCCGAAACTGAGGAACTATCTCGCACATACTGACAAATGGTAGTGGTATGACCCTCACGATACCCGCCAAGATGCATCCCGAAGTGGTGCTCTATGCTGTGGCGGCCCGGGACCGAAAACGTGCCGAGGAATTCGCGAAGAGCAACAGTATTCCAGTTGTTAGAGATACCTATCAAGGTTGGTGATCTACCCCTGTTATACCCTTTTCCCCCTAAGTTCATGTTATTAATATTTTGTCCTTAGAAATCCTCGATGATCCCAATGTTGATGTAATTCTCATCCCTTTGCCCAATGCTTTGCATTTCGAATGGGCCGTGAAGGCCATCAAGGCTGGAAAGCATGTTCTTCTTGAGAAGCCCTCTGTGTCCAATGCCAAGGAAGCCGAGGTGCTTTTCAATCTTCCAGAATTCGACCTGCCCAATGCACCGGTCATGCTGGAAGCCTTTCACTATCGCTTCCACCCCATTTGGTCGATCTTCCGGTCGCTAATCACTCCCGCTGATGTGGTCCACGTGGATACCTATTCTATGATCCCCTGGTGGTTCGTCAGCAAGGACCACATCCACTTCAAGCACCACCTTGCGGGGGGAACTATGATGGGAATGGGTACTTACAATTTCGCCGCTCTACGTCTTATCTTTGACGCTGAGCCCGAGGAGTGCCTGGTCGCCGATACCAAGGCCTTCACCGAAGGTATCCACCACGACTGTGACTATGAGTTTAAGACCAAATTCCGCTTCCCCAATGGCGGAATCGGTGAGGCGTTTAGCACCCTCCAGGGCCCAAGTATCTGGCACCCTTCCTATGCTACAGTTACGCATCGGAAAGTTGAGGTTGCGGATGACAGTCTTCCTGATTCCCAGCAGAAGTATGTCACACGTGAGGTGACAATCAATGGCTGGATTCACGCTGTCTTCTGGCATCGGATTGATGTTAAGGAATCCTTTGAGATCCGTGACAAGGCCAGCAACAAGGTCCTTAAGAAGTGGACCGAGAAGAGATCGCAGAAGGCCTACAAGCCTCGTGATGCCACCGGCGAGATTTCTAAGCTTGACGGTGAGGACCACTGGATGTCGTTCCGGTATCAGCTAGAGCAGTTTGTGAACCGGGTGAAGGGTCGTCCGACCCAGTACTGGGTTGATAGACAGGACTCCCTCAACCAAATGAAGATGGTTGATATGGCATATGAGAAGAGTGGACTAGGATTGAGACCTACTTCCAAGTACATAGATCAGGTCAATTAGACACTCAATCGGTGGCGATGGCTTTTGATGAACCCGGGGGTTATTGACACGCGAATTTAATAAATGAAACTGGCATTTTCTTTGAAATTACTCCATCTTATCTGTAGGATTCTGTATGCATCTCCCACGTGGAAGACGACTAGAAAACCATTGACAGCATTGCAGACTAGCTAGAAAGTGACACCAAGATGCCACGTGGGAGATACCACCGACATCCAGTAAAGCAAGTGTGGTTGACTGGCTACATACTGAACACCTTGACAAAAGCCATGGATAATCCGAGAAGCTGTTTGCCTAATCCGGTATTCGGGTCCGGCGGCATGAAACGAACAGCACGGGCTTAAAAGTCTGATTATGCACGGGTGGCTTAGTGTGAGGATACTAAAGAAAATTCAAGAAATGGAATCCTGGAGTATCTCCTGTGATGACTGCAGCAATGCTTACGCCTCACGTTCACGAGTACCTGCCATTTACCTTGATAAGGAACCCTGCTAATTCGCTAAATGCTAGAGGGCTAGCCTCAGGAGGTACTAATCACGTAATACTGTAAGAATTATTCGCCGAAGGCTACATAAGTAGCTAGACAACGTTGATTAGCTGCATACGTGTAGCGCGGGAGCTTGGAGAAATACGACCTCCCCCCACTATAACCTTTCGGTATGAAACACCTTCGGCGAACCCCAAATCCTTTATGATAAAGGTATCGGAGAATATAATCTGACATGAAGGGTTCGTATCTGAGGCAAGCCTCTAATCGTCAAGCATTGCGATGCGTCGGGGCCCACCCCTTGTCGATATCGTTGAAATCGGCGGAGAGGGAGAGGCCTTAGGGGGGCTGGACTAATCTTAGTTGCTGGTCGGCGATAATCGTGATAGCTAGCAATGAGTTGAACATCTGTGCACTGTTCATGGCTTCTGTAATAATAGAGCTCGCTGCCGTTTGAACTATAGAGGAAATCATCTACGGTCACACCTATGCCATAGAGGATCAACGCTTGTGTCTTGTCTCTTCCCTACTTCCCTTTCATCTTTAATACTTGACCAGGAAGAGCAATTGTATTGCACCTATACACACATACAATTATACACAAACACAAACACACACACACACACCACACACATATACACAGACAAACCCACCCAAATACACAAGTACCGACATTAGCCATCATCTCAGCAATGCCTTCACAACAACCAGAGGCTATCGCTATAGTGGGAAGCGGTTGCCGCTTCCCCGGATCTGCAAGCTCACCTTCCGCTCTGTGGAAGCTACTTGAGAGCCCTCGTGATGTGGGCATGGAAATTCCCCCAGACCGATTCGACGCCTCGGCCTTTTTCCACCCTGATGGCAGCCATCACGGCACATCCAATGTTCTCCGGTCCTACCTGTTGGAGGAAGACGTGCGTGCGTTTGACGCAGCCTTCTTCAACATCAGCCCTAACGAGGCCGACTCGATGGATCCCCAGCAGCGTATCTTGCTGGAGACCGTGTATGAAGCCCTCGAAGCGGGTGGTCATACTGTCGAGTCTTTGAGAGGATCTGATACGGCCGTTTACGCCGGAACCATGACCGCCGACTACAACGACACCCTAACCAGGGATCACAACACCATGCCCAACTACTTCGCAACTGGAACCAATCGCGCAATCATCTCTAACCGAGTCTCATACTTCTTCGATTGGCATGGCCCCAGTATGACCATTGATACGGCTTGTTCGTCCAGTCTCGTCGCCTTGCACCAGGGTGTGAGAACCCTTCGCGCTAGCGAATCGCGGGTTGCCGTGGCATGTGGTACTCAGGTGCTTCTCAATCCCGAGATGTATATCGGTGAGAGTAAGCTGACGATGCTGTCGCCTAACGGCCGCTGCCGCATGTGGGACGCGGATGCGGATGGATACGCCCGTGGAGAGGGAGTGGCAGCCGTTGTATTGAAACGGCTGAGTGATGCAATTGCGGATGGCGATCACATTGAATGTATCGTCCGGGAGACTGGAGCCAACCAGGACGGCTTTTCAAATGGGTTGACCGTTCCCAACTCTAATGCCCAATCTGCCCTCATCCGTCAAACGTACAAGAGAGCTGGTCTGGACCCTGCGAATAATCCTCACGACCGCCCACAGGTAAGAAAATATACCGCCGGATACGGCCAAATTTTGCTTGACCTAAGGCGCTGACAGCAAATCAACAGTTCTTCGAAGCCCACGGTACGGGTACTCAGGCAGGAGACCCGAAAGAGGCTGCCGCCATCCACGAATGCTTCGGTCAGCACATCACTAGCTCTGAGGATCCCCTGTATGTTGGATCGATCAAGACTATCATCGGCCATCTTGAGGGCTGTGCGGGTCTCGCTGGTGTCCTCAAAGCCTCTAGTATGATCCAGGCAGGCTCCTTTGCTCCCAACCTGCTATTCGAGACCTTGAACCCCAAAATTGAACCGTTCTACAAGGGTCTGCAAGTGCCGACGAAATTGACACCCTGGCCAGCTTTGGAAGAAGGAGTTCCCCGTCGTGTTAGTGTTAACAGCTTTGGTGAGTAGATACTGAAATCTTCCTAAACATCGGGTTGAGCGCGATGCTGACAAACACAGGTTTCGGCGGTACCAACTCACACGCGATTTTGGAGTCGTACGAAGCGCCAACAATCACGGGCTCATCTGGCCAAACATTGACGCCTTTCGTATTTTCAGCTGCGTCTGAAGCTTCTTTGCTCGGTCAATTACAATTCTTTGCCGAACATCTGAAGACTCATCATGATAGCATCGATATCTCCGACCTGGCGTGGACGCTGCATTCCCGCCGAAGCCAGCTGTCGACCAAGGCGGCCTTCTCGGCCGTGACCGTTGAGCAGCTCGCGTCTAAAATTGTTATTAAGCTGGCAGAGGTGACCCAGAACCCCACGACCACTGTCGGTTTGCGCTCCACCATCAAAACTTCCCCTCGCTTGCTTGGTGTGTTTACCGGCCAAGGTGCTCAATGGCCGGCGATGGGTGCTCACCTGATCCGGTCATCAGAATTTGTTCAAAAGAGGATTCAGGAGCTCGAAGACTCCTTGAATACGCTCCCAGAGGGCGACCGTCCGACATGGAGTCTCAAAGAGGAGATGCTGGCCGGAGCGGACACTTCGCGCCTTGCTGAAGCTGCGCTGTCGCAACCTTTGTGTACAGCAATCCAGGTTGCCCTGATTGACCTTCTACGGGCAGCTGGAATCAACTTCTCCGCTGTTGTGGGCCATTCCTCTGGTGAGATCGCTGCGGCGTATGCAGCCGATTTCATCTCCGGCCACGATGCGATCCGCCTTGCGTACTACCGTGGATTCTTTGCTCACCTTGCAGGCAATGAAGCCACTGGCCAAAAGGGTGCTATGTTGGCTGTTGGTACCTCATGGGAGGATGCGCAAGATTTCATCAACCTGTCCACCTTCAAGGGCCGCCTGACCATCGCTGCCCACAACTCTCCCGCCAGTGTGACCTTGTCGGGAGATGCTGACGCAGTCGTGCACGCCAAGAAGGTCTTTGACGAAGACCGCAAGTTTGCCAGAGCTTTGAAGGTAGACACCGCGTACCACTCGCACCATATGTTGCCCTGTGGAGAAGCATACGTTAAGGCCTTGCGGGCATGTGGCATCCGAATCAACCGAGAGCGGTCCAAAGCTTGCTCTTGGTTCTCTAGTGTCACAGCATCTGCTGAGCCAATGGAGCCAATTGACGACCTCCTCGATGTTTACTGGAGGGATAACATGACCAATGCAGTGCTCTTCGCGGACGCTGTTAAGAATGCTGCAGCCAGCGACGAACTTATTAACCTGGTGATTGAGGTTGGACCTCACCCGGCTTTGAAAGGCCCGGCTATGCAAAACATCTCAGAGGTGCGGGACACCCCAATTCCCTACACTGGTGTCCTTAGCCGGGGGAAGAACGATATCGAGGCCTTCGCCGAAGGCTTAGGTTTCATGTGGACCCATCTTCCGCAGTTGGTTGATTTCAAGTCATTCGAAAAGGCCGTGGCTGCGGAAGGCTCTCGCCCTCCCAAGTTAGTGGCCGGATTACCCTCCTATCAATGGAATCATGGACGCTCTCATTGGAGCGAATCACGCATATCGAGAAAAATGCGGACGCGCAAGCACGGCCACCATGAGATTCTTGGTTTCTTGTCTACCGATTCCAATGCACAGGAGCTGCGCTGGCTGAATGTGCTTAAGCAGTCAGAGATTCCTTGGCTCGCCGGTCACCAGTTGCAAGGCATGACCGTCTTCCCAGCTGCAGGCTATATCGCCATGGCGCTTGAGGCATCAAGACACGTTGCTGGCAACAGACAGGTCAAACTTTTTGAGTTGCACGACCTTATCATCCCAAGAGCTCTCACATTTGAGGACGGCGACAGCGCAGGTGTTGAGACGCTTGTCACCCTGACAGGAGTCAAGTATCTCCCAGACCAAAGCGCAACCACCCAGTTCGCTTGTTACTCCGTCCCTGTCCTCACTAAGGGCTCGGACTTGGATATGGAGCTCATGGCCAGCGGAACGGTCAAGATCATCTTCGGTATTCCGGATGTAGCAGCGCTGGATCGCCTGCCAGTGACCGAGAACAACATGGCCGCGATTGATCCCGACCGTTTCTATGCTGGCCTTGCCGAGCTAGGGTACAACTACGGCGGCCCATTCAGAACCATGTCAGGAATGAAGCGTAAGCTCAATCAGTCTTCTGTTCTCGTGGACTCGTTCCCCTACAAGGATTCGGATGTTTCCGAATTTTTGGTTCACCCCAGCACCCTGGATGTGGCCTTCCAGGCATCGATCCTTGCATTCTCAGCTCCCGGAGATGGACGACTTGGGTCACTCTCCGTCCCAGTGGGAATGAAAGCCCTTCGCGTCAACCCAGAGGTGTGTGCTTCGCTACCTACTTCAGGGTCGAAAGTACCCGTCATCTCCGCGCTTGATCCAGAGTTCGAGGGATTCTCTGCCAGTATCGATCTTCTCGACCAAGATGCTAGAAACTGTATGA